GTTCAATGCAATTCCTGGATGAGGCGAAATGCAATTACTCGTTGTTTTCACTGGCGAGATCTAAAAGGATGGAGATCGCGATGCTGTACACGATGAGAGCAAATGGCTCTTGACGAATGCGGGCTCGGTGTCTGCGGAATTGCATCGACTTTTTCAACTAGTTGCCGCAAATTGCTGCCCCTCTCTCTCTCTCTCTCGAGAGAGAGAGAGAGAGAGAGAGAGAGAACGCGCGTGTACATTGAACGATTACACAGATTGTAATTTTAACCGTATATCTAGATCCCGGAGATTTACACGCATCACTTGCGAAAATGAAACCTGCATTTGTTTCTTCACGTCTTCATTAATAATAGAAAACTGCAGTCTATAAGTTTTCAAGAGCTATATCTCTGTACAGACTGTATAGAAAGAATATACGTGACGGTTCAATTATACAATTTCGCGCTGCACGTTGAATGCGTAGTTCGCATAACATCGCCGCGAAATAATCCTACATCCTAGGAAATAATTAATTCGCAGCGATATGCGAACAATAATTACTCAAACTACATTCCACGCGGCAAAGGAGCCTATACGCGTCTCGCAGGCTGGCTCGTGCACGCGTAATACCTCCACATCAGAGTACACGCATAGATCGTAATATTACAGCTGGGCCTGTACATACTAAGCCACTAGTTAAGAGTGATGCCGGGTAAAGGGGTGACGACGAAGGTTGCCTTTGTTTGGCTCAAGTACGCGCGTTTCACCAGCTCGAAGTGGCATCGACGCCGTGCATGGAGAGAGATAGAGGGACGGAGAGAGACAAGCGGAGGGTGGCGAGATCTCACGTGTGCGCGCTGCAGCCAGCCCAAGCATTTTTGAACGCACCCTCGACTAGCGAAAGAGAAGGACGGAACGAAGGGTTGAAGGATAGGTGTATATATATATGTATGCGTATATGTTTGTGTGTATGTGTGTGTGCGCGCGCGCGCGCACACGTGGCTTGCGTATAAAGAGTAATAAGAATACCACTACGCGACGACAGACAGTCGGCGGCATGATGTTGTAGCTCTAACGTTTTATTTATCAGCCCTGATGACTTCGCCGTCCTCGCCTTCGTCGCGAGGGTCGCGATTCTTCTTTTCTCGGAGTGGAGAGAAGCTGAAAGAAGCTTCGCAACTTCCCTCCGCGTCGTCGTGCGCAATCGGGATCGCGTACACGCGACCGTGTGCATTCATACGCCTGGCATTCTCCGTTTAGCTTGCTTTAGTCCCCGCTATGTATATGTCGACGCCACCCATTAGGCGGTTCCGAGGATTTCTGGACCGCGAAATATTGAATCGTGACCTTTTTCGTGTTAATGCATCACGGTCGAAATGCTCTCCCTCTTTTGTCGAGTATTGACTTCGGCCGTAAAGGTGGTCTGAAAAGAGGGCGATTAAATTACACGTCTAGTCAAAAAGCGGCGGAAAAAGTTTGACGGCAAGAGCGATCCCGTCGAGCGAAATAATGAGAAATGCGTCATTTCCATTTCATCTCATGCTTCTTGTCCCGGCTGAAATTACATAAACGCAGTCGCGACGTTATTTATAGTGCATAAAATGTGCATTCTAAAAAAGTGTAATTAAAAGTTTGAAGCGCGCGTAATTTCGAAGTCTAGCTCGAATCTTAAGAGTAGCCAAAGTGACGCTGCGATATATTATTATTAAGTATCGCCTTTATAAACTTGTCTAGTTTCTTAAAAGGATGGCGAAAACGCGCTCCTCGTATCGGCGCCCTTCGGCGATCCCCGTTCCGGCGCGGCGGCGCGGCGGCGGCACCACGGGGTTGCAATCATTCGCTGACATTTCCCACTTTCGCGGGTGTACCCACCTATCCACCTAGCTACCCGCGGCACCGCTGAAAAATATCGTCAAGACGGCGTTGAAATATTACACTGTGTCACACCGCAAGAATTGCCGCGCCGTCGACGGTAATCTACCGCTGTCTCCGCGCGCGAGCGACGATTCGTATTGCTCGCACGAAGGAAACACCGGCACGATGACATTAAACTCCGGAGCAGGTGGAATTCCGTTCCCTGGAATATAGCGGCCACCCCCCGTATTGTCGCTGCATATCTGAGCGCTGCATTAATCAACCATGCTTGATATGATATACGCCTGTTTCCGATCGCTTACATAACGATACATCGTGCTTATCAACTATAATTTCCATTTATCACACTAATTCTTTTTATGCATTACAAGCCACTTTGAAGACGATTTATTATTGAATATCGATTTGAAAAGTGTCACTCTTGTTGTATATTTCACTTTGATACGTCTCGTCTTGGCGATCTCGTCTTGGCAAGATTTAATTTCTATCGTATAGCAAAAACGAGTGAAATTACGCGTATTATTATGTACGTAATTATCCCAAATAACGATTGCTTGATTAAGTCTTCAGCGTGTTGGAACGACGCTTAATGTTACTATAATCATCCGGCGCACAGTTGTGATTCTTGGCAAGGTGCCAATGGACGCACATGGGACATTACACTCGCGTTGTTACAGATTTATCACTCTAACTGACATCGTAGCCCAACAAGAGAGTTTCCGGCGTTAAATCAAATCATTAATTAATCTACTAATACTTATATTCATTTAAGTGATTTATCCGTTAAATCTTTAGCTACAATTTATCTAAATTTTAAATTATGATTCTCTTTTTTTTTTTTATAGAAAAGATAGATATTTGAATATGCGTGTAAAAAGATGAATTTAAAATATGCCTGAATTATTTAGTTATAAATTAATTAAATAAATATTATTGATAATTTAATAATGAATCATATTATATCCGCATTAAATGGAAATTACTATTTAATGTCTGAACATATCGAATTAATATAGAATTTTAGGAATATTCCAAATAATAGAATAGACACAGTCGTCCAATTCATTTTAAGTTTTAACTGCATATTATCGATAAAATTATTAATGATTGTATAAGTACAAATTCAATATGCACATTAGTAATTTTATAATCATTTTTCGTTCTCTTCTTATTACTTTTTATATAATTTAATGTACGATTATATTGTAATGATTTTTGAAGATAATTATTTATTTAAATATATATTAAAGGTGGTTAATTCTAAAATCAAAACATATGAAACAATGCAATTGCCTTAAAATAGATCTAAAAACAATTTTAAATTAATAATTATTAATTATTTATTATTTTTTGGATACGTATATTTAAATTTGATAATTCTTACCAGCTTGGATGATCTCGACCTTGAGGTTATTAAAAGTCCATTCCTGAGTAATTTTGCATTAACAATTAGATAACGGTCTTTTATGGTTTTTGAGATAATTAAAGTTAAAGATACATATATGTATGTATTATATACATCGAAAGCTTTTCAAATTTTTGTATAACTTTCTAACGAGCGACGGCTAAAACTTTTTGAAGGTCATTCAGAGTCATGACATTGACAACATATGTCAAGATCATGACCCTGGATTATCAGAGCTAGTTATATATAGTGCATAATTAACGTGACATGTCTTATTGTTTGTCGTAATTGACGCTTTCACTAAATACGTAAAATTGTGTGCGACTAAAACTACGGCTAGCTAATAGCTAAGAAAGCTGTTGACGCTTTGAAACAATACTTTCAAAACCATAACTGTCCCTTAACAATCGTAGATAGAGAAACATGTTTTACTTCAAATAAAATTCCGAATTTTTTGCAAGAAAATAACGTAAAACATATTAGGATCGTTACAGATTTACCTCAGGCCAACGGACAAGAATGCATTAACCGGGTTATAATTCCAATGTTAAGGAAAATTTCAAAAGATTTGTTGATATAATTGTTGAATTGTGATATAAAGACATAATGGAAAATAGAGTATTGAATAATACAATTAGTAAAACCACGGAATATACTCCGTATATTCCGAGTTAATTGTTATTTGGCATAAATCAGCACGGAAAATCTATATTAATATACGGACGATGCCGAACGAGTATAGATATCATTAAAATTAGAGATGACGCTGCCGATAGAACTCGCAAATCTCAAATACAGTCGAACCTCGATAACTCGAACCTTTATAACTTGAAAACCGACTCGAAAAACTTCGAATTTTTTACTTTAAAATCCATTATAAATTATAAACTCTCGTACAAAGCTTTCGTAATTTTCATATGTTAACTCTCTTTTACAGCTCGAATTTCGATAAGGCGAAATCTTTATAACTTGAAGATTTTTATAGCTGGCTTGAAATTCGTGTTATCGAGGTTCGGCGGTATAAATAAAGCTCACATTGACAAAAAACGGACAACCGCAATTGAATATAAGGACGGAAATCATAAGAAACTTTGATACTAGCGTAGGAGCGCCTAAAAATTGATATCCAGTTTTAAGGAGCCTTATAGTGTCAAATGGACTTTACGTAATAATCGCTATTTAATTGCAAATGTTGACGGGTTTCAACACACTCAACGACCGTATCAAGGGGTATGAGAAGTGCGTAATATGCGTGGTTGCATGACGAGTAGAACATTATCTGCGTATGAATATGTATGTGTATTATGGCGTTCAATATATTGGTTCCACTTTTAACTTCTTCTTCTTCCTTGTGCCTATGGATTTCCGGTTTATAAAACCATAGTACCACACGTATAGATTATTCCTGGATTTCTTGGGTAAGGCAGAAATCCAGCACTTTTAACTTTAAGTGTTTAACTAGAAATTAAGATTGTCATGTTGTGTTAGCTGTGGACAGCTCAAGAGTCAGAATAGCCGAACTGTAAGGACGAAGTGTGTAATCGAAAGTCGACATGTAAACACGCGCGGCACAGCGGTGACTTACAAGAATTGAGCACTGAACAGTCGATCCCAAGCTGTTGACTATACTAGATGAATAAATTAATATTATCGAAATAGAATGATTATTTCCCATACGTACGTACATGGCCCTCCTCGAATGTAAAACACTAGATAACATTCAAATTATAGATTGAACGCATTTTTATATTTTTATCTTAATTTTATTTATATTGTTTTTATCCCATTTTATAATTATTCGGCAAGTTCTTCTGATCCACTTTCTTCTCTTAAGTCTGCCAGATTATTCTAATGTTCCTGCTAGACCTTGAATCATGCAAAATCCATGTACGCAAGTCATCAGTACCGTAATTTTATTAATTGTTTTATTACAGCAAGGAAAGTCATTTGTGCACTGAAAAAGATTATACGAAATTATGATCTTGCACAACGCTTTTTATGTCACATAATTTAATTATTTAACTAATGCACTTTTTTAATCCATATTGTTAATATATTTATAAAAAATTGTTTTTATAATTCATATTCAAATTTTGTTATACTTTTATTGCTTAAAATATTTAAAATGTAATACTTTATATGAAAATACCTTTTATTCTATCTTCATTCTACTTGTGAATAACTCGGAATAAAGAGATGTAAGATATGAAGAATAGATTTAATATACCAGTAAAAAATTATAATTGGCTCGTATTTTAGAATAAAATAGAAATTAGAGGAAATAAAAACCAATAAACGAACAAACAGAAGCACACAGAAATAATATAATTATAAAATTTTATTCAGTAAAATTAAAGCGGAACGTTTCGACTTTACTGTTCTTTAGACGCCAATATAAATTTTGACATTATAATTAATTACATTAATTCTAGTCGGAGAACACACAACATTTTCTTTCCGCTGTGAGTCACAGTGTTCAAGATCCAAAATCAAAATTGTCCGAAGCCATCGCTATTCACTTCTTCCCTTGACAAGCTTTGACAGTTAGATTCGATTATTGATGGGTCGGCAACCACGAGATCCTCTTCAGTGAACGCCCCGCCGGCAATGGGCAAGATCTCCTTGGTCAACGTCTTTTAACAATGTTAATAGTCTAAAACAATCGATAGTTTAGTAAACTATGTTATGTTATTGTCACACCCAAAGTTTCACCAAAAAACTTTAGAACTATGCATTAATATTACAATGGGAAATGGCTATCCTTTGGAACTCATTTTCCAAAGAATACACGTAAGATTAAAGAAGTTATTAACACGAAATTGAACACTGAAAATAGAATCAATTATAAAGACAGAAAATACATCTGAAGATACAAAAAAGTTTTTGGCCTTTTCATACATAAAAAACGTATCCATACATGAAAAAAAAACGCAATATAAATGGATCTGAATATAGAGCGAGTTATAGATGTTTAAACAACAGGTTTATTAAGACAGGAATCACTCGGCAGAAAGCCGAGTAACGTAATTTTAAAAAATGCCCTTACAATTTAAACAAATTGTAAGGATTGCGACGCGATGCATCACATGTTGACCAAATAAAAGACAGTTGAAAATCAGAATAAATGAACATATACATATAACTCCAGATTAGACTCTTCAAAGTACTCGGTATGTAGTGAACATATGTACACAAGGCGTCACAAATGCCTACTCATCTGAAATTGCAGAAGCACATATACGTATATATTACTGTATATACATATATATGTAATACATATACATGGGTTAGTATTCCTGCAAGTTCAGATGGGTAGGCATTTATGACGCCTTGTGTACGTCAAAGCTAAACAATACGTTCGATTTAGAAAACAGCATACTATAACAGCATACTATAAACAGCTTGTAATATTGAACCTTTTAAAAGACTTATATCAGAAATGATACACATAAAATGAAACAAGAAAATGGATCATATTTAAACAGACACGAAATTTTTGAACATTATTACTTTGATATTCTTCACAGACTTGTAGAAATATAATCGAAATTTAAGACAATGACATAAGTTTCGGAAAAAATCGATTGATCGGAAAATCCGTTGAAAGAATCAATACTATCGATTGTTGTCGACTATTGACATTATTAAAAGAGGGAATCTCGCCAGTTGCCGACTAGAGCATTGACCAAAGAGAACCTCGTGGTTGTCGACCCATCAATAATCAAATCTAACTGCCAAGGATTGTCAATGGAAGAAATGAATAGTGATGACTTCGGACAACAATCTTGATTTTGGCGTCTTGGACTATATTGTGACTCACATCAAAAAGGAAATGTTGTGTGTTCTCCAATTAGGAATGTAATTAATTATAATTTGAAAATTTGTACCGTTTGTAATTTGGCAGCTGAAGAATACTTATTGTTAGTAAAGTCGAAATGTTTCGCTTCAATTTTCTTCTTCTTCTTCAATGGCACAAGTTATAGCTCAAGATCGAGCCATGGCTTCCCGAAGCTTAGTCCTCCATTCCTCTCGATCATTCGCACATCCTGACACCCAGTAGTCTTCTCGCTTCCTCAGCCATTCCATCCTCCCTACTCGGTGTCCCTTCAGGCGATTACTTCTCATTAAAGCTTGCAGATTTGTCAGAATTCTTTTTGGTATTCTAGTGTCTTCAAGGCGTTGCATATACCAGGCCCAGCTGATTGTGAGTCTGTCGTCTGATCATTATATTTATATGTTCTGATAGCTTAGGTGCTTTGCATAGTTGGTATATCTCGTAGTTATACCTTATTATCCATAAGCTTCCTATACTGGCCTGTATAGTCTTCGTAATATTTTCCTCTCGAAAGTGTCCAGATTATCTGTGATTCTCCGCGTGATCGCCCATGTTTCACATCCATACGTAATAACACTACGTATTAATGTTTTGTAGAGCATGATTTTCGTACTCCTATGTACGTCTTTGAATTTTATCACCGGGAGTAACGCATAATATCCTCTGTTTGCTACTTTAAGCACGTCTTTCATTTTATCGTTATCTACGGACAGTATAGATCCTAATAAGTATTTAAATTCTTGTACCTCTTTGAAGTTGTAATTACCGAAGAGAATTTTTTGTCCATTTTTTCTCTTTTTCCTAAATGTGATTAACATTTTTGTCTTATTTTCATTGATTTTATTGATGCTATCCTATTTCCCTTGCTGCTATCTCCTGATTTTTAAAGATCTTATTGCGTCCATGCGTTGACCTCGCCAGACAGTTGAAGTCATCTGCATATCCTATTAGCTATTTGGATTTATAACTGACAAGATCCCCTCTTACATCCACTCCGATCTTTCTTATGGCTTCTTCCAATGCTAGGTTGAACAACATCGAAGCTAGACTATCCCTTTATTTTATTTAGTGCTCCAGTATTAAAGTCCTTATTGACTTCTTTTTTAATTCTACGCATCGGGATGTATCTAAAAACGATGTCCGCCATTGGAAGGTGAGGTTGAGACATTTACCTCTAATTGTGAGAGGCTATGCATTGCACTTCACAGACCTTGGACACCTCGTTTTAATTTTACCGAATAAAATTATATAATTGTATTACAAAGTCTGTGTTTGCTCGTTTATTGGCTTTATTTCCTCTAATTTCTATTTTAATACATTAGATTAATGCAAAAATATACATATAGATATGTAAAATATAAATAGCAATCTAGTAAATAAAATGTCATTGCGTTTCTTACACTGATTATACTTCCGGAAATTTATGTAATTTATCAATTTTATACCATCTAAATTACATAGAAATTATTATTAAAACTATATACATTAATAAATAATTTGAATATGCATATTACAGTTTTAACGTAATATTATTACAACGATACTTACTCCAAAGACAATAGCGCACTGATTGTGAGCCGAGACTAAAGTCATTGCGAGGAGCACAAAGCAAAGGAGCACAATCAGTTTTCTCATATTGATCGATTACTTAAGAATTTTGTGTATGTAGAAATATTAAGAAAAAAAATACTTTTAACTCTAGACACTTTAATATCTTTATATACAGTCAGCTCAGTGATTCAAAGTGAATCATTTCGACAATTGTTCAGTTTATATACCAAACACGTATGTGCACTCAGAAATATAAATAGAACAATAATCTCTTTAAATACGTGAGCACTTTGAGAATTTTTATGATTCTATACTATGCTTATCAGTGGTATTATTGTTTATCAACTACGCAAATGAGAACCGGATTATAGGGGTAAACACATAGATATGATATAAATAAATCGAGCACGATACTTGATCGACATGTGCAAAAGAAGAAAGAAGCACAACTAATTCCCTCCTCACACATGCGAGAAAAGAAACAACTTCTCTCTCTCTCTTTCTCTCTCAATATATAGAGAATAACCTTTTGTTAGAAGAAGAAGAAAAATTTATTGTTAGTTGTGTTACGTTTCTCTTTCGCATGCGCCGCCGCGCGCCGGTTCACTACATCACTAAACTAGTGCCTGGCGTATGATATGCTTGATCTATGTAAATACATTACGTAAAACTTTTATGCTTTCAGATCTTAACAAAGACGGAAAAGTAAATTTCTCGCAAAACAATATCGCGATAACAAAAGCCATTCATGGCTCACGACAGCACCGCGATGCATTACTTCTTTATACATTTGTTCGATATCATGACAATCAGCCACAATATTCATTGCAATATCACTGATACCGTGAGAGATGGATTTCAGCATTTGTATTAGATTTAAATCTGTTAATTTTATAAACAATAAAATATGATTTGGGCAATAATTAGTTAATAAAATATCTTTTTCTCTAAACCTTTTATAACATAATATATCAAGGTCTGAGTTGTAGTTTTTCTATAGAAAGATCGAGCTATAATTTATAATTATTCGGCAGGTTCTTCTGATCCACTTTTATCTCTCAAGTCTGCAGGTTATTCTAATACAGTTCCTCCAAGGATGCAATGATTATGCAACTCCAGCTACTACTTGGTATAACTAAGCCATGTATTCTTACATCACAAGGACGGGTATCGCTGCACTGAAAAAGATTACGCGAAATTACATATTATATAACTTTTACAATGTTTTTTATAACACATGACTTAATTATTTAAGCTTTGATCATGTAATAAACTGTGTTTCAAGACAAATATGCGGCGCGCAGTTTGCGTGTGGTATGGATATTGTAAAAATTATTACACACCAACATTCGTGTTGGCTCCCATAGGGCTTTGCTTTAATATATTTGATTAATTATTTAACTTATTAGTTCACTTTTTAAATTCATATTATTCACATATACATATTTATACCAAAAAATGTTTCATTATAATTTACATTCAAATTTTGTTATATATGTATATTCACTACTTAAAATATTCAAAATGTGACACTTTATACGAAAATATCTTTTATAAAAGAAGTATTATTAAAGAAAATTCTTTCTTTATTTCACTTATAATTGTGAATAACTCAGAGTAAAGAAGTGTAAGATAGAGAGAATACATTTATAATGTTTAATATACTAGATTAACCAGAATAAAAATATACATATAAATATACTGCTCAAAAAAATTATGGCATAGAAAAATTTTGGTAAATTAGTAAAAATTGGTTAACTTTGGCTGACGATAATTCCGCAAGAAATCATCGTAAAATGATGAACGTTTTTTTAAATTAAAGCTTAAATTCTGTACTTTAAGGTGCTGTGAATCGATTTTAAATTTAACTCCTGCTACTGTAAACTTTTAAATCTGAGAGCATGTTTGCCATATTGAAAATTGCAAAGTTTGACGAAATGCACGGACTTGCTTAAATTTTTCTCGGGGTGCCGTTTGCATCATAAAGTTGCTGCGATTTTTTTCACAGAGTTATGGCATTTTAAAGTAAAGATCGTGTATAATTGGATATTGTAACACTAAGAATTTAACACACCAACACCCGTGTCGGCTCTCATACGCAATTATTTTACTATAGTTGATTTATTCATTGGAGCCTGTTTCTATTTAATTTACTTTAAACTGCTGTAACTTTGTGAAAAAAATTTTGTAGCGACTTGCGACTCTTTTTTCTAATTAAAGAAAAAGGTTCGAGCTTTGTAACGTTACCTAACGGCATTCCCTAGAAAAATTTTAGCAAGTCTGTGCATTCCGTCAAACTTTGAAATTTTTAGTATGGCAAACATGCTCTCAGATTTAAGAATTTACAGTAGCAGAGGTGCATTAAATTTAAAATAAACCCATGGCACCTTAAAGTAGAGATTTCAAGCTTTAATTTAAAAAAAATTTCTTACGATAATTTTTCGCGTAGTTATCGTTAGCCAAAGTTGACCAATTTTTACCCAAAATTTTTCTATGTCATAATTTTTTTGAGCAGTAATATGTATAAAATATAACTAAACAATCTAATAGATTAAATGTTACTGCATTTCTTACATTGATTATACTTTCGGAATGAAACTTAACAATTTTATGTCATTTAAATTACATAAAATTTATTAGGTATTAAAAAACATATATCAAATTGTATTAAGTAATATGATTGATATAAATATATAAATTAATAAAATATTTGAATATGCAATTATTAAAGTTTTATCATAATATTATTATAACTTACTGGCTTTCTGATGCAGAATTCTAATTGTGATTAGGAGACTGAATTAAGTCATTGCGAGGAGCGCAAAGCAGAGGAGCACGATCAGTTTTCCCATTTTGATTCATTATTTAAGAAATTCGTGTATATAAAAATTTTGAGAAAGTAGAAAAATACTCTTGAATTCTCTAAAAATGAAACTTTCGTGAACTTTCATAAGTAATCAGTTCAAAGTGAATCATTTCAGCAATTGCTCAGCTTAGGTATATATGCAGAACATGTGCACTCGGAAATATTCGTGGAAGTGGAACTTAAAAGACTGCCCTCTAGAGGAATGTAGATAAATCTTTGTAAGAAGAGTAAATATTCAAAATTAACACAGTAAAAATACACACAAAAATGCAAAAAACGAAAAATTATTAACGATATTGTGTAGTTTCTCAGTGCAAACTAACGAATATAGGTATCTAAAATTAAAAAAATGCTAAATCTTTAGCGAGCATTTTGAATGATTTCAGTGCCATCTATAATTCGTTTTTTTTGTGAATATATAGAACGATAATCTCTTTAAATACGTGAGAACTTTGAAAGATTTTATGAATCTATTTAGGCTTATCACTACTATTATTATTGTTTACCAATTGCGCAAATGAAAACCGGATTTATAGAGCTAAACACCTAGACATAATATAGATAAGCCGAGCATAAGACCTGACTGACACATGCAAGAAAAAAAACAATTCCCCTCTCTCTCTCATATATATAAAGAACAACTTTTGTTAGAGAATAAAGAAAGACTTATTTTTAGTTGTGTTGCGCTTCTCTTTCGCATGAGCAGGTTATCACTAAATCAGTCTAGTGCCTGGCGTATGATATGTTTGACCTATCTATACTATGTCTATGGGTACATTACGTAAAGATCTTTGTGCTTATTAAATCTTAATTAAAAAATCTTAATAAAGAACGGAAATATTATCCCGTAAAACAATATCGCGATAACAAAAGCCTTTCCTCGTGATTCACAACAGCACCGTGGTGCATTACATTACTAGCTTCTTTATTTATATTTATATGTTTTGATATCGTTTCAATTAGCCACAACATATCACTGATATTGAAAGAAATGAATTTCAGCATTTCAAATGTATTAGATTTAATTCTGTTTGTCAAAGATCCTTATTTAATAATAATTCTTACGTTTATCAAATTCAAAATTGATTTAATATAACATTAATTAATAATAATCAATAATTCTTTAAACATTAAAATATGAATTAATGCCTTTGTTTGAATAAATAGCTTAATGCCTTTACGAGCCGACATGGATGTTGGTGTGTAATAATTTTTACTGTTACAATATTAAGCCACATAAACTGTACGCCGTATATATTGTATGTATATCTTGAAACACAGTTCTTACATGAGGCCAGAATCCACTGTAATGAATTGGATTGTTAAATAATTTAATATTTTTGATGCTAATAAGCATCTGTAAGAATTTCATCCCCCAATCTGTAAAGAATTTATTGCGAAAAATATCATCTCAGCTCCCAGCCGGGAATCGAACTCGGATCTCCCAGTTTGCCCAGTTTGTTAAAATATGATTTGTACAATAAGTCAACAAAATATCTTTTTAGAATGCTTTTGCTAATAATCATAATTTTAATTTTATTTAAGATGCTAGAACTAATAATAAATCGCGCTATGTAATGTTATAGGAATTTCATCTCTTAATTATTTTTCCAATTCTTCTCCTTTGCATACGTAAAACTTCTCCAAAGCTATTATTTTTAATTTCATCATCATCAAAACAGAAAGATTATATATTCTTGTATACGATAACTTCATGTTTATCTCGATATAAATCATAAGATGAGTAAATCTTCGTGAATTATAAATTAATCAAAAGATTCAATACATAACTGTATTATGATAATAAAAATAAATAAACACATGTAAGAGGCACATATAAGAGAAAATCTTTATAGTTAAACAACCACCGTGACCTTTATTTGAATTACAAGAAGACTCTATTAAAATTGATTAACATGCATTGAACTTAAATATATTATCAAATGTTTTTCCCTCTACAAAGGAAAAGTCGAGCTATAATTTATAATTATTCGATAGTTCTTCTAGTCACTTTTTTCTTTTAAGTCTGCCAGGTTTCGGGATCCTAGTATAGGAAAGCTGAAGCCGCATATAGTATTTTCTTGGCAACGAAAGAATGTTGGAAAGCAACAATAATTGGTAGCGTTGCACTGAAAAAGATTATACGAAATTATGGTCTTGCATAATGTTTATTGCATCACATGATTTAATTATTTAACTTATTAATGCACTTTTCCAATCCATATTATTCATATATTTATTTAAAAAACTGTTTATTATAATTTATATTCAAATCTTGTTATACATATTTTTACTATTTCAAATATTCAAAATGTGACATTTGATTAAAAAATTTAAAATCTATTACTCTTTCTTTATTCCACTTAATTGTGAATAACTTAGAATAAAGAGATGTAAGATATGGAGGATACATGTATAATTATATTAAATATATATTGCTTACATGTATACATAAAATTATACATGTAAACAGACAGTGGGCTAAACTGAGCAAAAAAGTTTTGTACCATTTTGCGATCTTCACAATACATATCGAGATATTAATTTATAAAGATCGATTACAACAATTACCCCTACCACGCGCCGCGCGGTAGACGGTCATATCTCGCCGCGCGTTTACATTCGGCGATCTTTATAAATTAATATCTCGATAATTATTGCGAAGATAGCAAAATAGTAGAGGACTTTTCGATTTAGTTTAGCCCTTTACCTGTCCACAAGCGCTTTACCATTAAGTACCTGACACCCTGTCCAGTTATAAAATATAAATAACAATCTAAAATAAATTAAATATCATTGCGTTTCTTACATTGATTGTACTTTTGGACCCCGTACAATTTATATGAAAATAACGTTTTCAGTCAATTTACTTGAATTTTTGATATTTATAGTTCTCTCTAATAAAAAATTTCAATATACAGAACATTTCTCTATGATTAATTTCTGAATTTAAAATATTTGAATTTCTCTTCCGTGAAATCTGTTTGTTCGTGCTTACGCAAGTTTACATATATGTGCTGTCCATATGTATATCGTATATACATGAATGCTGCGATGACTACGCGCGCGCAGTCATTGAGATATTCATATTACATATCTGTTAGGAGCTTTCTACAATAAACCGTTAGTCACTACTCATATCATACTAACTAAAAATTGATCAATCATAGTCGAATATTTTTCTTACATTCAACTGTGATTGGTCAATTCTTACGATTTACGGCTTACGATCTGACATACGATCGGAAGA